GGGTGGGTGGGTGGGTGGGTGGGTGGGTGGGTGGGTGGGTGGGTGGGTGGGTGGGTGGGTGGGTGGGTGGGTGGGTGGGTGGGTGGGTGGGTGGGTGGGTGGGTGGGTGGGTGGGTGGGTGTGGGTGGGTGGGTGTGGGTGGGTGGGTGTGGGTGGGTGGGTGTGGGTGGGTGGGTGTGGGTGGGTGGGTGTGGGTGGGTGGGTGTGGGTAGGTGGGTGTGGGTGGGTGGGTGTGGGTGGGTGGGTGTGGGTGGGTGGGTGTGGGTGGGTGGGTGTGGGTGGGTGGGTGGGTGGGTGGGTGGGGGTGGGTGGGTGGGTGGGTGGGTGGGTCGGTGGGTTTAGGGCGCGGGGGCAGGGGGATTTTGGGGGTAACCCAACCTTTTGGAGTGGTACTGCTCAATCATTTGGACACCCAATCCACATACAACGCGAAATGCTCACAACACACCGATGGCCTGAGATGAGGCTATCCGGAGCAGCTGGCTCCGGCCTAAAGTTCGCAAGGAAGTCAGCGGCGCCTCTCGGCCGATGGTGGAAGCCGATCGCACACCCCTGGGCAAAACTGGTGTTCAGCTCCGCTTGTAGGTTTTACCAGACCGCCAGCTATCGACCGATCGCAGAGCGGGAAAAAATATCACCTGCACGCTCCCCAATCTTTATGCATGGGTATGTTCCTTCAAAGGAGTTTGAACCCCCACCAAAATCATATGTGTGTGTGGGTATCCTTTTGGCTTCCCTTTAAATTAAGGTTAAAACAAAATGCCTGGAACAACAAAACATGGGACAGTGCTTGACGAGCTCACCGAAGGAGCAAAACAATGGAAGCTTCGGCCCAGGACCAGGCTTTGGACTTAGCTCAAGGGCACTGCGCCCAGAGCCAAAGGGTACTGCAGACCTTTCTTTGGCGAACAGACACCTAACAAAAAATGAGGAAGTAAGAGTACTGGGCAAGCAAAAGAGGCTTCACAGAGCTACGGGCGCAACATGCTCCCAGCTTTACCTGCACAACAGCAGTGAGTTCCCCTCTGATTTGGCGGGCAATCAATGCGCTCCTCTTGAAAATTCTCTCGATGTTGAACCATTCGAAGGACTCTCCACCAAAAGCCTGCCCAAAAAAATGTTGAAACCATAGGTGGCCTTTCGGAAAAAATCGATGGCGCTGGTAAATGGAAGAAACCCCACAAAAACCAGTGCCATCTATTTTTAATCAAACTAACCTAAAAGGGACACCTATGGTTGAAACTTTGAGGATACCCCTTGCTTGGGTGTTAAAAAAGCCGCCGCCTTCGGGTTGGTGTGCCCTAAATGGACGAGACTTGACCCCCGGAACCGCTGAGGCGCCAGCCCAGCGTGTGCCGAGGTTCTTGTGAGAGCGCCGCGCTTGGATCTCCTGAAAGCGTGGGGCAGAAGGTGGACCCCAGATTACACAAACCAACCAGTTTATTCATATTATTCAGTTTGGGGGAGTAGACCCCAGATTTTCTCAACCCCTATGTATTAGGGGGTGTACCTAAAACGTGGGGGGAATCAGGCCACGTTTGGAGGGGAACACACCCCTTATTCATATACTGGGGTTGATTAATATGAGCAACATTAGGTTGCCAACTCCTTCGACTTCGAAAATGCATCCGCGATCGGAGGAAAGGAACCCAGCGCAGTTTGTGATTTCCATGGTGCTTCCTATGAGGGACTTTTACAAAGTGCGGCGTCCGTAAGATTTGCCTTTCAAAGACAAAGACAACGACCAGGGAGCCCAATTTTAGGACACATCCAAACATGATGAAATCCCCCCCTTCGCAGTGCAAAAAGCAAGGTAGAGACAAGCAAACAAACTCATGCTGACGTGGTGGTCGGTTTTCGGTCCGAGGCGATCTAATGGCCGCCTTTGGATTTTGTCTGCACGTCAAGGAATTAGAAGGGTCAATAATTTATACTTTGGATGGTGTCTAAAGCGAACCCATTCACCGAGCCTTTTTAGGGATCTCTGATGTTAGGAAACACGCATTTGCCCTCCCTCGTAGTGAACGACACAAAAAATACTTCAGCACTAGGTGGTATGCCTACCTGCTTGTCCACACCCCAAGCCACTACTTGGTCATGTGCCAAATTCAAGCATCGGTGTCATATATATTGGTCCTGTTCTCAGCTGTTCCAAACGAGTCCTTGAAGTTCGGCTTGTGCCCGACCAAAGTTCGCTGGTCAGCAAGGAAGCTTTCAACGCCCCCAGATGGTCCCTTCAAGCCGACTCAGCCAGTTGAAAGGATTTCCCATTTGGGGTATGGGTCAAACTTTTGCACCACCAGGAAGGATATGGACCGCACTTCTTTGCATGTCCTTGTTTGCAGTTTTTACTTTGGGGTCAGTGGTTCTTTCTGACCCGCGCATGTCGAGTTCCTGTTCAGCCGAACATGGGAACTGGAGATGGCCATCCGCTGCACGCGTGTTGCTACCCCAAAGAAGCGGGTCCCACCAAACGGCCAAAACCCGCGGAAGGCGACGAACCCAAACAGAAACAACTCGGTGAAAACACACAAAACTCCGAGAACGAAATGGCAAGAAACTGAAAACACAAAACAAATGATTAGAAAAGAACCAAACACACACCAACAAACACATGAGATCAAAAACAAACAAACAAAACTTCAAGACCCACACTTTCCCAAGAAAACCGAAACAAAGAAAGAGAGAGAGAGAGAGAGGGAAAAACACACACACACACACACACCCTCCCACCCACCCCCAAAACAAAAAAGGGAGGAAAAAACACGACGAGCCACAAACCGACCGGCCGGACGCGTTCCGCGGTTCTCGCTCGCGCCTTGCGCATCTCCTGCAGCAGCTCGCGGCGCTGCTGCTGGCACCAGCCCTCGTCCCGGCCTATCGATGACATCGCTCGCTCGGAGACGGGAAGCGGCCGATCGAAGTTACAAGCAGGGGGGGTAGTAATCTGTGGTGTGATTCGGGCACGAGCCTGTGCCCAGGCAATGGGTTAGTTGGGGTAAACAAGCCACAAAAGAAAGGTTCCCCAAAAGCAAACCAATCCCCGGTCCCAAAGATCAGGGTTTCCCACACACCAGAGAACAACAACCAAAGGAAAACAAACCAAACAAGAAAAGGGTTAACCCGCAACCTTGGTCGACAACAGGCCGCACGACTGGTCCCTACCAACCTGGCGGCGGCCCGAGGTCTCTTTCTCCCCCGAGATGCCGTCGGTCGACGCAGGGGTTCGGCGACGCCCATTCGAGGCGCGACGGAACCCAAAACTTGAGCCAAAATACCACAGGTCGGTCACTAACGCGACGTTCCTGATGATGATATGAACCATGGCTAATCACACCCCCCTCACGAGGAGCCCGTCATATGACGGGTGGAGCGTGCCATTTACTGATAGGATTTAACTGCTCGCATGCGTCCGCAAACAGCTGGACACTACCGCCGTCAGCGGTGGAGCAAACCCACAAAGGCAGTTGCGCGACATCCCGGGCATTAAATTCCCGCCACCACCCCGAATTAATCGGGGTAACGCTGTCCAACATACCTTGTGGAAAAGTCCACATGACGACACTAGGTCACAACTGTTTGCATCAACAATGCAAGAAGTTTAATTCTTATCAGAAGCCATGAAATAAAAGATAACGTATGTCCATTAGTACCCTCGCCTAACGGCAAGAGGTACCCTGACCATGCGTACCTGAAAAATGCTTGAATTCCGCAAACCCGGGAGTAACCCCCCATCAGTTTGCTTTCCCTCTCACTCATACTGCTTCCGGATGAGCACGTCCAGCAGCTCAGCAGCGGTACGGGAGAGACATGACCTCCGCGCCTCAGCGGTCCGGGAGGAACATCACCACCTCCGCACCGCGCCGACCATTGGAGAACGGACGCAAGCCTATCGGCCGCAATCCTCGTGACTCAGCCTACCGGCTATCGTCACGTCTCCTCCGGTCACGTCCGCCCCGCGCACGGTCCCTATCACGATCCCTTTCGGATCTCCTGCGATCATCTCGCCTTCGATCCCGCTCCCGATCGAGTGAATCATCATCACGACGATCACGAGCATCGTCCCTCCTCCTGTCGCGATCATCCTCGCGCCGCGGACGATATCTGCGCCTCCTCGACTCTCTGGAATCCCTGGTGTCCACGGTCCTAACGGACCTCCGAGAAGGAGTACGGGAAACATCCGATTCCCTACGCCTCCTCCCAGATTGAGAGTTCGTCACGATCTGGTTGAGAGCTTCCAGTGCCGACGCGTCCTCACCATTTCTGATGAAATCCCTAACCTGCTTGTTCAGCACTCTGTTGGTGGAGATCGTCAAGAAAGCGTCCACCACCGAACTCTCAGGCAGCACCAGGAAGTGACCCTCCACCGGGCTCGCCGCGGCCCGCTCAGCAGACTGCAGCCGGATCTCCCCGCCTTCAGGCTTCTTTGCCATCGCCTTGGAGGCAGTCAAAGGCGCTACCGCATCCTTTGCCGAAGATCTGCATCCCCGCTAGCTTCTCTCGCTGCCGCACCTGGTCTGCTGTCGACGTCGCCAGGCCTCGTGGATGCCTCCCGCTTTGTCGACTCCTTCGCAGCCTCGTCGGGATCCCAACGGGACTTCCTTTCTCTCTTCTGCCCTTCGGCCGACCCGCGGCTACCGCCGGGAGCGTCACCTCCGCCTGTCTTCTCCTTCTTGACCTCAACCTTCGGTTCGGCCTGCTTCGTCTCCTTAGCCACAGCTTTTGGAGCCGGAGCACTCCTCGCCTCAGATGCCGAAGCAGCCTTCCCTTTCGGCTCTGCCTTAGGAACCGGGGTCACTTTAGCCTTGGCACTCGGCCTGGCCCCTTCAACCACCATCTCGGCCCAAGACTTCTTCGGCTGAGCTGCTGCTGCATCAACCTCCATCGGAGCAGGTCCAGCGTCATCCTTCGCCTTTGGGACGGATGGGCTACCGCCCTTACCGGATCCTTTACCCGGCACTTCACCTGACTTTGGTGGCGGGCCGGAAGGACTACCGCCCTTACCGCCCTTTTCCCCCTTTTTCCCTTTTCCTTTTCCGCCCTTGGGGACCGGCTCCTGCTTGGGACCAGGACCCGGCGCAGCATGATGCACCGATTGGAGTCCCTCGATGTCCACGATCAATGGTTCGGGTTGACGACCGTCAAGAACCGTCCTTACCCTTTCGTCGCTAACGTAGACGAATGGGTCACGGAATGGTGCGGGAGGCTCCGACTGTCCGGCACTGATCGCCTTCTGCACCTTGGCTATCGCCTCCTTCAACCTCTTCTTCTCATCATAGCCTGTCTCCGATACCATGTACCCCCTGAGCTGCGACATCAACGCATGACTCTCCAGGATGTCCACGTCCTTTCGATGGGTCGGGTACAATGGGGTCAGATGACCAGCCGCAGAACCAATCACGTATGCCATCGGAATATAGAATGACAAGTACGTGTCATGACGAGCGAACTTCCTAACGGAAGTCGTCATACGCCTACCCCACTGAGCAGCGTGTCTTGGGTTGGCCCGGAAGTACTCCGTGACCGACTCAAATCTATCGACTTGGTTGGTCTTGATCAGGTGCTTCGCCACCCACTTCTCCACAACGCATCCGAGGCCGAAATCCCGGACACATAGGAGAATTGGAAGAGCACCTTCGCCAGCTCATCCCACGCCGCATCGACACCTCCCTTGTCTTCACCAAGATAAGGGGGAAGTCTGATGCCGCTCTGCACCGTCATCCTTAGATCGGATGCCATTGAATAGGAAATCAAATTCCTCTTGATGACTCCGACCACTTCGGAGGGAATCCTCCTGGGCTTGAACTGCCCCATGGTCCTCACCCACTCCGGCACGATGTGGCACGTTTCGAAGTCCTTTTCCTCCGCGTTGGGGATAAAGTTCGGGTAAAAGACCGGGAGCGCGCACCCGGGACACAAGTGCATCCCATTCGGCATCAATTCTGCGCACCTCAAGCAGAACGTGGCAGTCACATTCAGCCTGATCTCTTCCCGTGATCGCCTGTGCTCTCCCCTAACGGGGGTGAAGTCACCGTAGTCCCATGCCCGATGGTACACTATCGTGTAATCATCGTACATATACGCCGCCTTCCAAGCCCCCATGTGGATCTCGTTCCTAACGGCAAGAGTCTTCCTTCTCGTCAAAAACACGGGTCCAACCAAGGACCAGTGCACCCGAAGATCCACCATTACCACCACGTACCTACCGGAGTAGTTCCGCAGCCTGTCCCTGACATACCACGAAGGCGATACCTCAGCATCCGGCGCCATGGCTCCCACAAGTGGGATCAGGCCCTCATCCTGCCTACCATCCCCAATGGTCTCGTACACATCGGGCCTCGTGATCAATATCTCGATCATGGCCTTTCCATTTCGCCTCACCCTTTGGAGCTGAACCGCCTTCCGAAAGTCCGAGAACTTCATGATGACGTATCCCACCATGGGGAGTTCATTCCAATGCATCTCATACATCAGAGATCCGCCAGGTGCATCTTCCTGAGTATACCTGTGCCTAACGGCACTGTAACTCAAGTCGCGTCCGATCCGCGTGTGCCTAACGGCAACCAACCTGGTGCTCTCCTTGAGGAGAACGCCATCCCCGTCGTACATGACCATGAGCATCGCCTCCACTTGCCCTATCGGGAAAGCTTTAAGCGTCGGAATGAAGAACTTCCAAGACATCTCAGCGTTCTCCATACCCGAAATCTCCTTCAGGAACCAGATGGCCTGGTCACTTTTCACCCAGTTTCCAGCCTCGCGTCCGGTCTCCTTCAGCACACGTTCCTCGAATAACTCCGAGACTCTCTTTGAATTGATGACCAAGCCGTCGAAATCGCACGAGAGCAGTCTCATCAACTCCTTCGCCGCCTCCCGTCCTGCAACAGTGCCCACGGTCTCCTCGTAGTTCGGGAGGTATTCACCCAACCTCGTCTTCGAGGGAACCACAATCTGGCAAGTGACGGCCTCATCAGGGATAACTCCCGTTTCCCTTAACTCCGGATTGATCTCTCGCCTATCGGCAAGATAATCCTCCTTCCCATCCAGTACCACAAGATTGTAGGTCATCTTGCTCGCCGCCCCACTAGGCCTGAACTTCCTGCTATCATCCAGCTGGTCAGGAGCAAAGGGTCCACTAGGGGCAGCTGCACTCATCAGAGGCGCTCCTCGCCCAGAGCAGAGGTGCTTCTTGTGGAAGTTCACCATCTGATTCAGCTGCGATAGTGCGTAGGCACGATCCTCCAATGACGCACTCTTCATCCCAGCCTCAGTCAGAGGAGCCTCAGGCTTGTCATAACTCGCCTTACCGCCCCATCTCGCCGCGACCAGCTCAGCAGACTTCGCAGGGTCGATCAAATTCCCCGACCACCCAGGCATATTGCTCAACCTCCTAGTCAACGCGTCTACCGACGCAGCCAAGTCTTCGTCCGTCACGGTGTAAGGGTCGACCTTCTCCCTGTCGTCCTGACCCACATCCGGAAGCCTATAGTCCCCGCGGATGGCCTCCATCGCGGTCCTCTCGGCTTCCTCAGCCTCCTCTTGCGTGGCCACAGCTCTAGGAATCAGGAGCGCGACCTCAGCCGGCAACGACTTCTCCATGTTGATTGGAGTATTCTTGGGAAGGATTCTTCGATCATCTCCCTCCCCGCTGTACACGTATTCCCGAGCAGCCTTTCGGTACTCCTCAGCGGTAGCCCCTCTGTAGTTGGAGGCCTTGCTCGGGCCTTCCTTCCCAGCCTCGGTACCCCGAGGCGTGGGCTCCTTCGTCTCGGTGGAACCCTTCTTGGAGCCTTCCTGATCCACGTCCATGTCGTCCTTCTTCTTCTCCGTCACGGACAGTTTCCCAATGTCAGGAAGGGTCACATCATCATCCTTTCCTG